TGATGGCTCCCAGGGGCCAAAAAGTAGGGTATGGGGGGGGCAAACCGGTGACGTGGACAGAGAGTGAGGGAGTTTGGGGCAAGTAGTAGTGCCGACAGGTGGAGGGGGCAGATCTCCCTTTGGGTGCTGAGGAGCAGTGCGTCTGGTCCAGCATGAGTGCCGCCCTTGTACGCCTCGTATATGGCTCTCCAGCCCACCTGCATCTCTTTCCTTCCCTGAGCTTTCAGAACACTGCATAGTGCTGGCTGTCATGCTTGTTCTTTGGGTACCATGTTCTGGAGTTGTGCTTTGGCAGTTCGCTGACCCCCTGAAGGGGAGTTTGTTGTCTTGCCTTTCCTGCCCACATGGCTGCTGTGTGCAGGAGGCAGGCTGAAGGTGTGGGATGTTTATGGATTCAAAAGTTTGAATTGCACACTGCCACTCTGAGCCAAATGGCTTTCATAGATCATTACAATAACTAATTTCACTGATAAAATGGGTATATTTGTAAATCTGGTTTAATTTACATATCTGCTTTGTTGTAAACTTCCCGTTCGGAATAGACAAATATAAGCAATGGAGTGTATGAAGTTTGCAGAGTGTACTGGTTCTCAGCAGGTTGCTGTGTTACAAGCGTAGGGACTGTTACATGTGTTGATTCTACTCTTTATGACTCATTTTAAAAGGTGCAGAGTTACACTGTATAAGGTGATCTCTTTACAGTCTGTCTCTCTTGGCATAGTAAATGACAGCTTTTATTTATGTCATGGTTTATGTAGTGCAAATCCAACAGTTATCTTTAGAGGAGGAGATAAAATTACACCTCCCCCTACAGCCAGTTTAGTGTGTTCACTTACAGGATACCAAGTGGTTTTGAAAGACACATGCTCTGAAAAGCTTCTGGATCTTTATTCAATGTCCACAAAGCCAATAATCTGAGCTTGCAGTGCCAGCGTGTCCAAGTGGAGAACAGGTGTGTGGGCAGGGCTGGCTGGGCGCTCCCCTGCAGCCTGCTGGGCGGAGGCATTGGAGGCATTGGAGGTCCCTGGAGCTGCGTCCCTCCAGGCCGCTTGGTCACTCCCCACAGGCCCCCTCCTCCCAGCAGCACGCTCGTTGTTGTTGGGCCTTGGGCGCAGGTGGTAGCGCCGTTGTGGGGATCTGCTGCGCACCCTCTGCCTGGCCGCGGTCCTCTGCCGGCGGGGGGACAAGCCATTGCCTGCCCTTACCATGTGCAGGATGTGGTTGAAAGGCCGCCTGCAGAGTGGGCACACAGCTCTTGAGGCAACCCACCGCTGGATGCAGTCAAAGCAGAAGGCATGGAAGCAGATGTCGATGTAGGCTGCATCGTCCACATCATCCAGGCAGATGGGGCACGGGCCGTCTGCTGCTGCCTCCCGCCTCCCTGCCCGCTGCAGCTGCCTTGTGCCAGCTGTCGTGGCAGAGCCACTGTCCTGCAGAGCCTCTTTGGCACCTGATGCCATGTCCTGCCAGGAGACATGCAAAGTGCCCGAGATTTTCTGGTGCCGGGAAAGGAATGGTCCACAGTCCTGCTGGAGGTTGCAAGCTGTGTGCGTGCACTCACATGAGGCCTGGACCAAAGGCACCGGGACAGAGCCTGCAGCTACTGAAGAGCAGAGAGGTTGGGGCCATCACAAATGCTGCCTGGCAACATCACAGAGGTCTCTGGGGCTGCACCCCCCCCACCGCCTAGCGAGGACGGCAAACACCCCAAAAGGGGAAAGCCCCTGCTTCACGGGATGTTGGACATCTTTTGGTTGCCTTAAACCCCCCATTTTAACCTCGGGCTTGTCGGGTTGCATGGTGAGAGGCTTGTGCCCCTGAGCACAAGGGCCCAGTAATGGGCAGTGCAGCAATGCATGTGGGGGAAATC